CATCTCTCCTTCACAATCAGCCTTTATCAAAGTCAGACAAATTCTTGATGGAGCTTTAGTGGGCCATGAATGCATTCACTCGAGACATATCACCAAGAAACAAGGGATTATTTTCAAAATCGACTGGGAAAAAGCCTATGACCATGTCGACTGGTTAGTCCTGAATGAGTGCATGGCCAGAATGGGATTTGGGGAGAGATGGAGGAAGTGGATGAGTGGCTGTTATTCCACCCCACACTTCTTTATCATCGTTAATGGAACACTGTTCGGCTACTTCCCTTCCTTGAGGGGTCTCAGGCAAGGAGACCCTCTTTCCCCCTTCCTGTTCTCTATTGCGGCTGAAGTAGTCAGGGTATTTCTTCCTGCCAAAGAAAGGAATCTACCCTTCCATCCCGCCAGGCGTCTGTCTACCTTGTCTAGGACATGGGACCATTGCCGCTTTCTAGGCATCCCCAAACCCAAAGGTAGGCCAAGATAGGTAGTAGGGAAATCCTGGACTTTGCACACCCAATCTGGAATAAATGCTCAAATTTCAGCAGATAACAAGGCTACACCCTACATACTGGATTTTTCCATATTAACCTTGAACTATGTTGCTGATTGGAACCAGCTGAGGAATCTTTTGAGAGCTCTAACTTCAATACGGGTGGCGTCCAGGAAAACCAAGGTATCATCCGCGTATTGTAAGTAGAGAGGAAAGAAGAAAATGAGGAGTCTTTAGAGAGAGAAGAAGAGGTTAAGGAGGAGAGAGAAGAGAAATCTATAGAGAGAAAAGGTGTTAAAGACGAGAGAAAAGAGGCTTAGTTGGAGAGAGAAGTAGATGGGAAGGGGGAGGAGAGGAAGATAGAGAAGGAGGTAGGGAGTTTGGGTATAACAAGTAGAGAGAAATGAGAAGCAGAGAAAGTTTGTTGGGTGTCCAACAATTCGGTGCTCAACCAGAAATACAAATAAATAAGAAGTAGTAAAAGAAAAATTAGGCAAGGAGAGGGAGGGTAAAAGAAAAACAAAAGCTAAAAGAAGAAAAGAGGAAAAAGAAGTGGAGTAATTGTCGGTCTTCAAGTACTCATTTGTGAGCCCCTCCTTGTTTTAGTAAGGGCTCGTTGAGATCATGAGTTGTAATGGCCTTCACCCTTGGCCCAAACTGCCCCATTGCTTCCTACTTAGGCCGTAGGCTTTTCATGCTAGCAGCATTGAAAGAAATTCCTGCTTGATACATCCATTGGGCTATGTACTAACATGCCTGACCCCTATCTTCCTTCTTAAAGCTGTTTTCCATGGTAGTCTGCTTCTTTCCTCAAATTGCAGCCTCAATAAGAGGGAAATAAAAATCTAGATGCCTCTTTGCTCAAGGCCTTCTCCCCCAACCCCTTCTCCTTGTACTAGAGCCCATGGGTTCTCCTTCCTTAGCATATATATGTTTTTCTTCTTTGACTCCATAAAGATTCTCAGATCTTACAATGTCCTTATAATTTTTCTTTCCTTATGTTTCCTTTGTCCTGCCTCAGGATGGGCTAACATATCTCTCTTAACTTCAAGAGGCACCTTTATGGATAGGCCTACAACCACTTTAATGCCAACCAAATGTTCCATTAATTGATTTGTGCCAATATTATAAATCCCATTACAAAATTTGCGTTTTGCTCTATCCTTGTTATTTTGATTGGGCAATATTGCATATTTTCTATCATAATCAACTTGTTTATTTGTACTAGAAAACCACACTGTCACCTTGCCCAATAGTCAACAAAGAACCACCAAACTTAAAGCAGCATCATCATCATCATCCGAACTTTATCCCAACTATTTAGGGTCGGCTATATGAATTATGTTCCGCCATTCTACTCTATCAAGGGCCATGCCCTTTGTCAGACTATAAATCACCATATCTCTTCTCACCACTTCCATCCATATCCTTTTGAGCCTTTCTCCTGTCCTTTTAGAACTTTCTACTCAATCCAAATGGCCCCTCCTAACTGGTGCTGTATTAGGTCTACACTGCATATGGTCAGCCCACCTAAGTTTACTTCTCTCATCTTATCACCCATTGGAGCCACCCCTAAATACCCTCATATGTATTCATTACGAATTCAATCCTTTCATGTTTTGCCACTCATCCATCTCAACATCCTCTTCTTAGCTACGCTCATCTTATGATTATGTTGTTTTTTGACCCACATTCCGTCCCATAAAAGCATGACTGGTCTAATAGTCGTTTTATAAAACTTTCCCTTCAGTTTCATTGGTCTGTGGTGATCACATAAAGCTCCAGGTGCACATCTCTATTTCGCCCACCTAGCTCTTATTCTATGTGTTGCATCTTCCTCAATCAGGCCATTCTCCTAGATTATTGTCAATATCGTAATCTCTTTTAGGAATTTCTTGGACATCAATTTTAACTACTTCCTCGTTCTACTCCTGTTATTACTAAACTTGCATTCTATATATTTTGCATTAGTTCGGTTAATTTTTAAACCTTAGATTCTAGAGGATCCCTCAAGAGTTCTAGCTTTGCTTTGATGCCACCTTTAGTCTCATCAATCAAAACTATGTCATCCGCGAACAACATACACTATAGTACCTCAGCCTATAGATGCATAGTTAACTCCTCCATAACCAACAAGGTTCGAAGTTAACCATTAAAAAAGAAAAAAAAAAAGGAAAACAAAAATGGGGCTGTCCTGAATTTGTTGGAAGTTAGGAGGACTTTTAATGGAGTAACAAGACGGGATTGCGAGCTGTGCTGAGAATATGTTTTGTGTGGAGATCAAAGTGAATGGTGTGATAGATAATTATCTATACAAGTTTCACCAAAAGTCTTTTGAACTTTTAGAATTCATTCTACTAGAAAGGCCGTGTAGTTATTTTTCTATATGTTGCTTTTGTACTAAAAGTTTCTATTTATATGAAAGATTACATCGTGGGGGACACCTTGCAATCATTTTTTATTGTCTATGAGAAGAATCTGTTTTTTTATTCCATGTTTATCTTTCTTTTGGTTTAGTGCACAATAACTTTTTTAATTGTCTCAATTTGTAACTTGCAAGATGATTGGATTTGCATACCAATATAAATTGTTTACTTTTATTTTTGGAGAAGTGGATAATATTTGTGTCCTTGTTGTATCATTCTTGAATATTAATTTCACATTATAATGCATATGTCCAAGCATTATTTCATTAATGATCTATGGGCCCTTAGTACTAAAATATTCATTGGATACGTACCTCAAGGTTAAATTGTCTTTTTGAATTCCTAGGACAGGTTTATTGGTATTGTAGTTATCAATACATAGGAAAGTAACCTGTTAAGGGTTGATCTCCCTTTGCTTATGTAATTTGTTTCCTAAATTTTCTTGTTCGTTGCATATTCTTCGAAGAACTATTTGACATAGTTCACCATAGTTATGAGACCCTCTCAGTGGAATGACCCAATGACCATTCTTCAACATGCTTATGTACAGAGTCTAGTGTGTAGATTGCAACTTCTATAGCAAGTCATATCCATAAGGATGAACAAATGGACATATCACTGTAGTGCAAGGGGACTCTCTCTTATGCACGTTTACAAGACCCTTCTAGGTTGCTTCCCAAGATGTGGCTATAATGTGTACATGCCGTGCAGTTGTTGTTGAGGATTTGGGCCTTACCTCACAGGCCTATAATCGCATGAAGGAGACCACCGGCTCTTGGCCCACAAGCATCATCCTTGGGTATCTCTCCGACCTCAACGAGGGATGACCATACAAATAATGTAACCCTTAATGGTAGTGCCTATGCCTAGGGGTAAGGGTTTTGGACGTGACTTGGGCCTGGACCGCTCAACTCAAGGTCAGTCAACCAACAATTCATGCATTCCCACAAAAGTGTACATCCACTATAATTTTTATTTTTACATGCTCTCAAGGCCTTTAAAGGCTAGTAGCCCCATCACATTATGTATTAATGTGGTGCACTTTTGTCTCGAGTTATCAAAAGATCTGTGGTAAGAATGAGACACTTTGTAAAATGCCACTTTCCTTATGTGAAATATCGAAACTAAAATTTGATCATTTCTTGAAACACATTCCTGTTCGTAAGTGGTAAGGGAGGTTATTAAAATGACTGTACAGTGATATGATCATATGTTTTGAGCTCCTTGGGAATGGAAGACTCTTCTTGGGTTTGAGGTCCAGTGACTATCCAACATGGGCAGCAGTTTGGAGTCCCATGGTATTCTCCTGTAGTGCAGGGGCCTCCATGAATGTCATCAGATGGGTTATCAAGGTTGGTGTTATCCCTTGAGACTGATTATGTATTACTGCTGATTTACACTGTAAATTTAATACTACAAATGTGGCTCATGCAAATAGAGAACGCGTCGTATATAGACTAGCAAATATGAATGCTGATAAGGAATTTTTTGAGCATTGGAATTATGCCATTGTAGTTCCCTGATCCCTACTTTATGTAACCAGCCTTTGCCTTCCATTTTTTATTTTGTCACAAAACACTGACCACTGATGATCACTTTGGTGAAAACTTCTTGCAAAACCCTGTAATCTCTAGATTCCATATAAGGATATATTTTGGAGAATAATGGAGAAGATATCAGTGGTAGAAACTGATTTCAAATAAAATTGGTTGTTTATTTCCATTATTTTTCATAAACTAGATTGAAGCTGAGGTGAAAGGGTTAATTGGAGTAATACAAATATAGGTTTTGACTGTTGAAGCTCAAGTAAAATGGATTCCATTCAGAACCTTATATTATGGAATGAGGTGGTACCCTAAGTAAATGACTTGGGCTTGTGGCCTGCATGAACAGTTGTATCACTCATGCTATTGGGCTTCAACTTTCCAAATTTTACAAATGTACACTTTATTTCCTTCACTCTAGTCTTACTTTATTCAGTTGTATTACTTTTGAATAACCTTTTTTGATGTGACTTGTAAATTCACAATTGGTAACTGTAAGAAATGTGCATCTTTAGATCGTATATAATTAGTTTTCTTTACGTGCAGGAGGTTGATCAATTTGATGATATAGTTATGTTGCTCAAGAAAGATGGCTATGAAGGTGTTTACAAGGTAGTTTCACACATCCTGTCGGGATTAATTTCTTTCTTACACGGCATTATAACAGATAACATAAAGTAAGATCTGAATTTCAAGTTTCTCTGATTACTTGGCTCTAGGGTCGCACGGGAAATGCAAACGATGGATGTGCTGTATTCTGGAAGGAACACATGTGAGCTATTTAGATCTTCGATATAATGTACTGGAAAATCCATGGTTAATTTGTTCACAATATTATATTTATTTCACTTATGGTTTTTCTATTGCAGTTCCACTCGATTATTCATTATGATTTGATTTGAGTGAGTTCGGTCGTGGTCATGAGGATGTATCACTGGGAACTTCAATCTATTCCATTGCAGAATGCATGATATGCAATTTGAGTTTCATTAAATATGTTATGAAGTATAGTTCAGAGATTGAGGCTGCCATATTAATTGATCAGTTGTGCATTATGTTGATTACTCTGAGCATCTTAATAACTTGAAATATTTGTATATGCAAATCTATTCTCAAATTTCAGGTAATGTTTTGCATCTGTAGTTGATTATTTCTTTCCTAGCATTGATACTGGTATAGGCTTATTTTTTGTATAGTTCATATTGATGTGGCTGACATGCTCTTTATCCTCTCCTTTGTTGTATTGAATGTAATGTTAATGAAATAGCAAGATGCACACCCCAGTTTAAGGGATATGAAAATATTGCATGCCTCAGTTATTAGCAAGCCAAGGGGCTACCTAATTACCCAAAGAGGTCTGTATAGGGACTTGGGTACAAACAGTAAGTTTGTTTTTTTGTCACAACAAGAAAGAGAGATGAGAAGACCAAGGAAGAGTAGTGTGAATCCCTTAATCAGTGTGTGTTACGTGATTAATATTACATTGCTGAATGTTAGTGTATGTATAATTACATAAATGCCCTTATCATCCACGGATACTATAAAGTCCCTTAACATCCACAAATACTACAAAGTAATAAAAGAATAAAGTACTAATAACAATAGTGCCTCTTATAAATGACACAAAGTCATGATGCATAGTATTAACCATAGTTGTTGGGATCGGGAGTGGGAATGGTACCTGGATCCAGTGTTTTAAAATGTTGGATGTGGTCTGATGTGTTGGAGGGGCTTATGTGCCGATGTGGTCCAGATGCCGGTGCATCGCCATGATGCGATCAATAAATATAATAAATTCTATTTTTTTTAAAAAAATAGGTTAATACATAGAAAAAAATATGGAGGTGATTTATATGATAGTAGGTATTTAGTTTTTCATTAACTTCAAAAGTATCAATTATCGCCTGTCGGAAATTTTGTATCAACTATTCCCTGATAGAAACTAGAAACTTGAAACTAGCATCATAAACATTCAACAACCATAATCACAAATTTGCAACCCGAAAATATTTTGTACTAAAAGTCTATGAAGATTAAAGAGTTCAAAAGTCAAGCTCAAGACAAATAAATCATCATCATTTCTCAACTCTAAGTCTTGAGATTCTAAATTCCAAATCCTAATGAGAGAAGTTATCTTGAGAGTCTCCATGAGCATCATCATTCTTAACTTCGCCTAAACTTCTTCAAATCAACACCCAAAAGAAGTAAAAAATCAACAACCAATCATCAAGCATTACGAAAATCTAATAACTTCACAAAAAACATTGTCTGCCGCTTTCTTTTTTTTGATTGATTGATTAAAAAAAAGCCATGGATGTGGCTATTTTTAGTTGTTTCGGGGTATAATACCTCCTAAAACCTTTCCCCCCTTTTTGGGGCTCAAAATGTCCAAAATACCCCTGTCCGATGGTTGTTTTTTACAGAAATGACTGGCTGCCAGTGTTTCAAAAAGCGCTAGGCGGCTCCTAGGCGGTCGGGTGGGTCCAGGTCGCCCAGTGCCTAGGCGGGCCCTCAGAACCTGGGCAGCCCAGTAGAAGTATTTTTTTTTTGGGTTTTCTCTCTCTAAAATAGCCTCTGATGAGTTTTAGGTTTCAAATGAACCTAAAACCCACAATTTTGCCTCTTTAGTATTAAAATAATGCTAAACAATACCCTCAAGGAGCCGCAGTTCCGCCCCTGGGTGGGGCGCAGGCCCTGATCGGCCTCCTAAGCGGGTTCAGGCGGGCACCCAGGCATTGGGCTGTCCGCTTTTTGAAACAATGCTGGCCACACATGCGGATTATGTGGGATGAAGCCGCATATGCAGAGAGATGCGGCTTATATGCGGGCGCAACTCTCCAAAGCACATATGCGGTCTGTTGTGATGCGCTGCCAAGCGCATAACGCTTTATGGAGCCGCATATACTGCGATGTGGCCGCATTTGAAAACCATGCTTGCATCGGGATCAAGAGCCGGGGATCGTGAAATGCTTGAAGATCTCTCTGGTTGGGAATGCTGTCCATACAGTTCACGTTTTAGGGATTGAGATCCCCAAATGTTAGGGATTGAGATTCCAACCTTTTGGGGATCTTGATCTCGACCTTTTGAGATCTTGATCTTAACTTTTGGGGGATCTTGCTGCCTACCTTGAAGTGTATATGATCTATGATTTTGTATATTCTTTAAAGTAGGGATCTCATTATTGATAGCTAGCTAGCAAGCAATACAACTACATTCAGAGTATGGTTGTGCTGTTAGTTGGCTATAAACAAAGAAAATCATCAATTTGGTTGTTGTCTTCGTCTTTAAGGTTGAGATCAAGATCCCTAACAGCAAGAATCGGGATCCCTATTAGTGCCGATCGAGATCCCAAAATTTAAAAATCAAGATCCCTGAGAGATTCGTTTTGGCAGAGTGCCTACTAAAGTAGTAGGAGATCTCGGTAACTATGGTATTAACAACCCCTCAAATTGTTCATTGTGTTTGAACATGTACAATTTGCCTTTTAGAAAGGGAGGCCATTCATTGGTGATCTCTTTGGTGAAAATGACTGTGACATGCTTTTGGTGCCGATATAATCTGTTCAAATCACCTTTGATCCTAGGGTTGCCCAACAGCCATGCTCGGACTGGGCCTTAATCTGCCCGAGCCCGGCCCACAATATATTAAGGCCTCGGCCTGAATATCTCTTTGGCTCAGGTCTGGGCCCAGCCGAATGCCTCTCCCAACGCTCATCAACTTTTCTTCTCATCACAACATTACTCTAACACGTACTTAAAGAGCGCTTCATACATGGCAACTAGGTCATGACTTATGTTTATTCTTAAGGACCTTGAGACACGAGCATAATCTGCATAGAAATTCTAGTGATTATAAACTTGGTGGAGGGTCTGGAATTTCTAAACTTGGGGCCCATATACTGAACCGGCCTGGTCACCGTAGGGGTCCGACCAGTCCTTGGTTGGGCTCAAGTGAGACCCTGAGTCCTGGCAGCTAGGATTCACTGAGTCCGAGAATTTTCCTTTTCTTATAGTTTTGGCCAAAAAAAACTATAAGTTGGCTTTTCTTAGCCAACAATGGCTATTAAACTCCCAAATCTGAGCCTTGGAATCACTTTTGAGCCCTCCATTGAATTGAAAAATGATTTTTGATAGATCGACCAAGTTTCACTGTTGAGAGAGTTAGAGATCTGAAATTCGAGTTCAGAAAAAGCTTCATACAACCTTGGATCTTGTCAATCCGAAGCCAAAAACACTTTGGTGGTTTATCTAATAATTTCTGTTTTTCCCTTTTCTTTTTCATAAAATTTATTTATTGTATTTTTGTACGTGTCTTTAGGTTTTTGGTGCTCTTAGGGACAGATGCTCATCCATACACATTCAGTTTGGGTTCCAATAATTATTCATTTTACCCCAAAAATAGTCGTGGGAGG